AGCCAATGAGAGCTTGGGGGGTGGGTGGAGGGTAGGGAAGTTTCCAGAGGCAGATAGAGGGGAGGTTATAAAGGGGCTACCGACGATCGTCTGGCAGAATCATGCAGTCTAAGCGGGAGTGTGAGGTAAGTGGCTGGCAGCCTAGGGGTGGGCGGGCCCCACCCGTGCAGGGAGCGGGGGCCCCGGGGGCCCAGGCGAGGTGGGGCGGGCGGCGCGGCGGTGCCCCCTTTCCACCTGCCCGTTCCCCTCAGCTCTGGTGCGAGAGAGTGAATCCAGAGAACAAGGCGGCGCTGGAGGCGTGGGTCAGGGAGACGGGCATCCGCCTGGTGCAGGTGAACGGGCAGAGGAAGTATGGCGGGCCACCCCCAGGTACGATAGTCCCAGCCGGCCCCGACCATCCCCCTTGGGGGAGGGAACTCCTCCCAGGCTTCAGGGTGGGAAACCCGAACTGGGCATTACACCCCCCATCCAAGCAGTTGAAAGTCACTGTCGGTGGCCCCTCCCCCCAACACGCCTCAAGAAAAGGAGCCAATATTAAAGTACACCTTTTCCGTGCCATCCTTGTCGCCTCAGTCACCCAGTGGTGCCAACGACCCAGGTTTCAGGCGTTGTACCCATTTCACAGAAGTTTGCTCATACGTCCCAATCGGGATCCCGAACCCGGAACGATGACGGTGCCCCTTCCCAACCCTTCCCCCAGGCTGGGTGGGCAGCCCGCCGCCGGCCGGGTCAGAAGTGTTTATCGGGCGGCTGCCGCAGGACGTGTACGAACACCAGCTGATCCCGCTGTTCCAGCGCGTGGGCCGCCTCTACGAGTTCCGCCTGATGATGACTTTCAGCGGCCTGAATCGCGGCTTCGCGTACGCCCGGTACAGCTCGCGGCGCGGCGCGCAGGCCGCCATCGCCACGCTGCATAACCACCCGCTGCGGCCCTCCTGCCCGCTGCTGGTCTGCCGCAGCACCGAGAAGTGCGAGCTGTGTGTGGACGGGCTGCCGCCGGGTCTGAGCCGCAGCGCGCTGCTGTTCGCGCTGCAGCCGCTGAGTTCCGGCCTGCAGGAGGCGCTGCTGTTGCCCAGCCCCGGGCCAGCACGCA